GGGTGAAAAAAAAAAAAACCCACTTGCTGTTCAAGCCTGAGGACCCAGGTTCAGATCCCAGTACCCACTTTGTTTTTTCCCTGTGTAGCCCTGGCTGTCCTGGAACTCACTCTGTAGACCAGGCTAGCTTTGAACTCACAGAGATCTGTCTGCCTCTGCCTCCCAAGTGCTGGGATGAAAGGCGTGCACCACCACCACATAGATAGATAAGAAATGGCAAAAAGTTAGGTTAGCCAGATATTGTAGCAGAACAGAGAATGTTGAGTTGGAGTCCAGCCCACTCTACAAAATGAGTTTCAGGACAGCAAGGGCTGCATAGACCCTGTCTCAATTTATCAAGCAAGCAACCAAAAGTTAAGCCAAGAGAGTAGGAAATACACACACACACACACACACACACACACACACACACGTGTCACGTGTGTATCAGCTAGCTCAGCATCAATATATGTGAAAACCATGTGCAATCTCACCTCAATAAACTTAGAGTAATTTCAAATTTAAAGTTGCATGCTACTGAGGCTACAAATTCAGCAACTAGGAGGCAGCACAAGAGGCTCCGGTGTTTAAGGCCAGCCCAGTCTCCATAGGGATTCCCATCTCAAAGTAGTAATTTCAGATTTATTCAAGGAAGTGTTTCCCTCTGCAGTCCACTGAGCCTTACTGCATAGTTGCATGATATAGTTGTCAAAATTAACCAATATTGATAGGTTACTATAAAGTCTTTAGTCTTTAGCTAATGGCCTCTTTCTGTGCCAGCATTTCATCTGGAAGAGAAATTACATTTAGTCATTGTTATGTTAACTTTTTCTGTGGACTCCCAAGCAAACATCTATTCACCCCAGATAAGGCACCCACACACCAAAACAGGCCTATCCAAGTCTAACTTGGATATACTCGAGTATACTGGGCTTACTTACAGGAGCGCGGGTGATCCCAAAACAGCTGCACCATTGAAAAGTCTCATGACAGCAGGGGTGACTTCCCCATAGCAGGATAGATGGAGCCCCACTTGAGTTAACTTTCCAATTGCTGTGTGTTGCTCTTAAGCCTGTAGGAAGCTGGGGCAGAGTTATGTGTGTCTGGGAAGAGGAGGCAGGAAGGGTAGTGGGAACCTCCATGAATGTCTGCTGCCTCCCTGCCCAGTGCTTGTATTCGGGAGAAGCAACAGTTCTAATCGTGAGCATGGCTTTGGGGATTCACCTCTGCTCTGATTAGCATGGTGATGGTGGGCTTGGGGAACAGCATTCCACAGCAGCCATTGTAACATGTATTTCAAATACATTACATACATCATGTAAGGGCATACATTACATACAAGATACGACCTTTACTGCAGATATAGTCTAAGGGATGGACATTTTTTCCCTCGCAGGTGCAACCTGTTCTGATATAAACAACAATTAGAGCCGGGTGCCATGGCTCACACCTGTAACGCCAGCCCTCAGGGAGGCAGAGGCAGGTGGATCTCTGTGAGTTTGAGGCCAGCCTGGCCTACAGAGTGAGTTCAGGACAGCCAAGGCTACAAAGAGAAACCCTGTAAGTGCCTTGTACAGAGACATTCTGACAAGTCAACTTTTTAAAATGTTTGTGTGGGGTCTCATTTTTGTCACCCTGGCTGTCTGAACTTTCTGTGTAGACCAGCTAGCCTCAAACTCACAAAGACCTACCTGCCCCTGCCTTCCTAGCACAGAGTGCTGGGGTTAAAGGCTGATAAGTGAATGGGTGGTAACTTTCCTTCATGAAAAGTCCCAACTCTCCGCAGCATGAAACATACCTATCATCCAAACTCTTGGGAGGTGGAGGCAGGAGGATCAGGGAGTTCAAAACTCTAGAGTAAGTTCAAAGCCTGCCTGGGGTACATGAGCTCCTGTCCCAAAACACAAGAGGCTAGTGAGATGGCTCTTTGGACAGAGGCGCTTGCTGCCAGCTTGACAGGAGTTTGATTTCCGGATTCCACGTGGTAGAAGAGGAGACTCAGACAGGTTGTCATCTGACCTCCACAGGCACACCATGGCACATGACCCCTGTAGCATATAGTAAAAGAAACAAAGCTAGAAGTGCCTAGGTGGGGCCAGGCAGTGAGGGTGCACACCTTGGATCCCAGCTCTCAGGGAACAGAAGCAGGGGTCCCTCTGGGTTCCGAGGCCAGCCTGGTCTACAGAGTGAGTTCCAGGACAGCCAGGGCTACACAGAGAGACCCTGTCTCAAAAATCCAAAAGAAAAAAAAATATAATAAATGCAGAAATGAAAAGGACAAGTTGTACCTCAAAATCCTGAGCTATATTCTAGCTAAATTTCGAAGCCATCACAGGAGATGAGGTGATCTGTATGTGAATACTAAGACAAAAGGTTACAGGAGAATTTAAGAACTACTTCAGAGTCCCTCATTCTTAACCCTCACAAGGGAATCCCTGAAAAATACTCATCTCCGTAGGGAGATTAAGTGTGATCTGGGGGAAAGAGATACTCAGTTTCCATTTTCTGGTGTTCTTGCCTCTCACTGCCATGGCTTGAAGGCACTGGAAAATGTTCTTTTGAACTCCTGACTGTAATACCTCTTTCATGGTTTTAAATTTTAATAAGACAGCTGTCTTTAAAATGTCATAATTAGGATAGTGCTGTTAATAAGATTATAGGTAAATATGTCAAAAACATAATACAAAATCCAGACAAGGTGTAGGTAAGAATTTAACCTGTAGTTCATTAGGTAAATGAGCTGCTCACTTTTTTCCCAAGAATAATTAAAAAAAAAAAATAGCAGACTTTTTTTTTTTTTTTTTTTGCATTTAAAAATGTTCGTTTCAAAAACCATGGTGACATAAACTCATGAATGATCTCTGCATTCAGGAGATGGGGCAGGAGGATCACAAGTTGAAAGTTATTGTTGGCTACATAGAGTTTATGGACAGCTTGGGTTACATGAGACCTGGATATGGACACGCACATAAGAGCACGCACACACACCCCCCCACATTCCTTTCCTGTTTGGCTTGTGATCCTAGCACTTGGGAGTGTTAAGGCAGGCGGACAGTAAATTCAACAACAATGTGGGCTGCATACCAAAATTCTGAATCGATACAAACCAACAGCTTCATTTCTTTGTGATAGCCTAGGAGAAATAAGTATTTACTTTGTTGTTGTTTTAAGACAAGGTTTCTCTGTGTAGCTCTGGCTCTCCTAGGACTCCCTCTGTATACCAGGCTGGCTTCAAACTCAGAGCTGTGTCTGCCTCTGCTGCAGAGTGCTGGGATTAAAGGCTTAAACCACCATGCCCAACTTCTGTCTGCTCTCGAAATAGCACAACTCAAAAAAATTTTTTGTTGTGTTTTTGTTTTATCAATACAGGGTTTCTCTGTGTCCTGGACTCACTTTATAGACCAGGCTGGCCTCCAAGTCACAGCAATCTGCCTGCCTCTGCCTCCCCAAGTGCTGGGATTACAGGCATGTCCATCTACAATTTTTGATTCAAAGAACTCTATGCCACTTTTTGGTTTTAGCTGATGAAGCCTCTGTTTACTCTGCATCGTGAGGCAGGTGCTGTTTCCTCACGTGTGCAGTTTGGCTGAATTATGTCAGTACACTGAGTCCCATCTGATGTGCGTTTGGCATTGCTAGAATTGAGAGGAGCCTGGCCCTGGGCACTGAATATCCCTAGAAGCTCGAAACAGTTGTCTGTTTTGTTTTGTTTTCCTTCTCCTTTCTGCTTCTGACTAATGTAGCCTAAACGTATTTGTAGAGTTCTTATGCAGCATTTTGAAATAAGAAATGTTTCATGCTGGGCGCGGTGGTACACGTCTGTAATCCCAGCACTAACAGCGATCCGCCTGCCTCAGCCTCCCTGAGTGTGCTGGGACTAGAGGCGTGCGGCACGGGGCCTAGCTACATCTTTCAATCTTTCAGTTTGTAATGTGTGTGTTGGGGACGAGTTGCACGTAATTAGAACGGATTCTGCAGCTGAAAAGACAAATAAGCTAATTAGATAATGAATTTCAGGTCCCGATTTGCCACGTAATAGTTCTCATTACTTTGATCTGTCCTTCTCTAAAACGGTTACACGAAAGCCTTCTGGGAAATAGCTCCATCATCATGAAATCAGCTGTGCCTGTTTGCTGGCAGCCGCCGCAGTGGGGCTTTTTGGCTATTGGCTGCTCCCTCCTAGGAGGAGCAGCTGAGGAGGGCAACTGTTCCTCCGACCTGAGATTACGGCTGCTCCTCAGGGCCATTTGGAGGCAATTTTACCCTAACTGCGCATGGCGTCAGGAGCTTGGGATGTGTTATATAGAGTTAGGGAAGTCGAGAGGGGCTCTATCTACTCAGCTGGGAAGAAGTCACACTCCATTTTGGGTGGGAATGTTAACGTTCACTCTGTCCATTCTTGTGATGTGGAAAACCCGCTGAAGCGCTTCGTAAGCCGCGTATTGTACAGTCAGGGCATGACTGAGCCCACCTTGTGTTGTCTTCGCTTTCATTCATTTGGGCACAACTACGCAGCACACTAGGAACAGGTGTGAGGTTAGAAAGCAGCTCTTCGACGCAGTCAGTGTCTTCCCAGATTTGGGTGAGCTTTCCCTTTAATGCTGCTTAAGTTCTTGATAGCCTTTCTGAAATGAGGCAAAGGCAAAGCTAGGTTCCTTGCCAGCAGCGACAGTGTCGGTTGTCATCTTTCTGGACTGTTCTTTGGAACTGTGTTTAAATGTTTCCCACACACATCCTTCTTCGTCATGACCTCAACCAATTAATGCTTTCTCCAGGGGCTGTGATTGATGGAAAACTAGATTAATCTGGGCTAGAGGCTGGTTCTATGAGCCTGAAAGAGAAGGCCAGTCTCCGGCCTTGTGCACCAACCCCATCCTGACTGCTCAAAGATAACCCCGAGCTGCTGACACCAACGACCAGACATCTTCAAAAGGAGGCCTGGACTGTGAAGAGGGACAGTCTCTAGGCGGAACTACAGCTCCCAGCGTGCCCCGCGGCCGCCAACTCGGCGGGACCGCGCGTGCGCAGAGGGGCCGCTGCGCGCTGACTAGGAGCCAGCCGGGAGCCCGACGTGCCGAGGTGTTGAGGTGGCCGCGAGACAGGTGAGAAGGCTCGAGTTTCCCGGCGAGGCGGACGCTCACCTTCCCTTTGGGTGGAGGCCGCGGGGTGCGGGCTGAGGGGAAAGCATCCCGGCAGGCGCCGCCCCAGGCGTGGGCGTCGGGCTGCTGCGGCGCGGTTGCTCCCACGGCGACCCGGGACACGCGTGACAGACCCACCCCCTCCGGCGGCTCCCGGCGGCTGGGAGAAACTGCGCCTGACGCAGGGACTCCAGCCGGTGAAGTAGGACTGCTGCGGGGTCCCCGCGGGTGGCAGCTCCTCCTCAGAGCCAACTTGGATGTTTTCGTTTAAGACTCAGGTGCAGCATCTAGGCCGAATCCGAGCGCGCTGCCGTGGGTTAGCATCGGGGAAACTGAGGCGGACGTAGGGGCAGGATCTCCTTGTGTGCTTCCGGTTGGAGTTCTGGAAATAACTCTGAGATTTAGGTGCGGATCCAGGCTGCTTTAACATGGCAATAATGGGAAATGCAGATGTTTTGAAGTTGCTTTTTTAGTGACAGATTGTGTCGAGTCTTCCAGTTCCAAGCTGCGTATGAAATCTGTGATGGGTCACGGTGATTTTGATGGTTTGGTTTGGTTGTTTTTGGTGGGATATTTAGAGATGACCCAGAATGTGAGTGTGTGTGTGTAACAACATATGTTATCCCTTAAAAGACATCTTTCTAGGTAAATTCAGGTTAGTTTGGTTGGTTGGTTAGTTTTGTTTTTTTCGAGACTGAATTTCTCTGTGTAGCGTTGGCTATCCTGGACGCCCTTTGTAAACCAGGCTGGCCTTGAAGTCAACGATCCACCTGCCTCTGCGTTCCTGAGTGCTGGGATTAACGGTGTGTGCTCTCCAGCACCCAAATTCAAATTTTTAATTGAACTGATTTTCAGTTTCATCTTTTTTTATTTGTGGCTTTTCTAACTGTGCTGGTGACTAAGCTTTAAGGTGTGCACATTTTCTAGTTCTTTTCCCCCTTATTCCTTTGCTAGTGTCCAGTTCTCCTGTGACTGTAAGCATTAGGTTATCTGTGTTTCACACTCATTTCTGTTCCCCATGACCAATGTGCTCAATAAAGGTGAGTGAGCATGTGTGTTTGTGAGTACACGTAGGTGCCTGCAAAGGCCAGGAGATGGCTTTAGGTCCCCTAGAGCTAGAGTTACAAATGGCTGTTAATGGGTTCTGGGAACCAAAATTGGACTCTCAGCTAGAGCAGTATTCATTCGTAACCATAGAGCTATAGCTCCAGCCCCTGATTGCTGCTGCCGCTGCCGTTGCCGTTTGGAGCTTTCTGTGTAGACCAGGCTGGCCTTCAGTGATCTTCCTGCCTCTGTCCCTTAGATGTTGGGGTTATAAGCATGCATCACCACACTCAACCTTCTGTCCTTTTAAACCACAGATGTGTGTGGTCTGTGGCAGAGGGGAAGTGTTTTGGTTGATGGATATGACCCATGGACAAACATTAATTTAATGGGACTGTGGGGAGTCCTGGATGTAGCTTGGGTAGAGTGCTGGTTTACAACAGTCAGATCTTTTGTTTCGTTCCTAAACAAAAGAAAGAAAGAAAGAAAGAAAGAAAGAAAGAAAGAAAGAAAGGAAGGAAGGAAGGAAGGAAGGAAGGAAGGAAGGAAGGAAGGAAGGAAGAAAGGAAGAAAGAAAGAAAGAAAGAAAGAAAGAAAGAAAGAAAGAAAGAAAGAAAGAAAGAAAGTTGTGAACAAGTGGTTGCCTCTACATAAAAACTCACTCACCATCTTTCCTTGTGAATTTGGGAACTTGTCACTTTGACAGAAGAATGAATTGGGGCAGCATGTCATAGAGATGAGGGAAGTTCAGAGAAGATGATCTCTGTTGTTCCACTGCTGTCTTCCTGTGCGTGGAGTGGCTGCAAGAACATCTTATTGGCTTAGAGTCACACACGTGCACGCGCGCGTGCACACACACACACACACACACACACACACACACGCTCTTTGCTTGTTTTCAATTTATCTCTTCTTTGTTATCAATGAAGATTTTGGCAGAAGCCCAAAACCTTGTAGATTTGGTGACTTGACATCACTTTCATCAGCTTGTTCTCCATACGCTGCCTATTACTCAGCTGGTAACAACAGTAATTTTCCACAGCAGCCATTCATGAGCTCAGACTGTCACAAGGAAGTGGGAGTAACACAAAGGGTGGTACACAGGGAAATAAAGATCCTGTCACTGAATATACACAAAGTTGGACAGGAAATCCGGACAGGACAGTTAGGTGCGACACAGGAGTGTGGCTTCGACTTGCAGAAATACTGTTGAAAGCAGTTATTGAGTCCCCGTTGCCTAACGAACACTGTAATTGTCACGGTCAACTGTAGGGTATTGTGTTTTACATATGTGTAAAGATTTGGAGGTTAAGTGATTCTTACAAACACTGTGACAAAGCAACTTCTAGTTAACTCTCTCTCACTTTAAAACCCCAAAGTTTCTCCCCTTCTCCCATAATGCATGCTGAATAGCCTGGAACTCAAGTTCTTCCTGCGTAGCATTCCTGCTCTTTTGACAGTGTTTTGAATTGTGTTATGGACAAGCATATTCAAAGCATTGAGTGAGTGCTTAATAATAGAATACTTAGCTACTATGTGCAAGGCTGTGTGTTTAATACCAGCACTGCAGAACAACAAAAGCAAGTATGTTTAAGTCTTCCCTCATTCTTGTTCCCATTGTTTCCTTTTAATGTAGTACTTGGAATCAAACCTAGAGACTCTTGTGTGCTAGGCAAGCTCTACCATTGTTCAATCTTCCCATTTTCCTTTTTTGAAGACAAGATGTCTCTTTTATGTAGCCCTGGCTGTCCTGGAACTAACTCTGTAGACTAGGCTGGCTTGGAACTCACAGACATCTGCCTGCCTCTGCCTCCCCAGTGCTGGGATTAAAGGTGTGTGCCAGAACACTTGGCCCATCTTCCTTCTGTATTTGTCCTTAAAAAGCAGATTCTGGGCCTGGGGTTGTAGCTCAGTTTGTAGGTTGTCTAACATGTGTGAAGCCCTGGGCTTGATCTTTAGCACTGCATAACTAGATATGGTAGAACCTGCCTGATCCCAGTGGAGGCAGGGGGATCATTAGTTCAGAGTCATCCTCAGCTATGTAGATAATTTAAGGTCAGCCAGGGATAAATAAAATTTGTCTTAAAAAGGGAAGGGAGCAGATTCTATCCCTCTCTTTTATTTACTCCTTAGTGTATTACAACCTGGCTTCCACCTTTATGGACTTCAGAGGGTATTGGATATATACTGTGTATCCCACCTTCTGTAAGTTTTGCTCTGAGACTTTAGGGAAAGAAGTTGGAAACTGTCAGTATAGAGTGTTAAATGCTAACGTTGTAGTCTTTAGTCTTAGTAATGGGGAAAGTTGCTGGACCACTTACAGAGCTCAACCTTAATGTCCTCTAGAAGTAGTACCAGCCTGCATGTGTGCCTCTGTACTTTCAGGGAGAACCTCTCCCCCACCTCCAGTGAGACGTGATCTGGTTGAAAGATAAAGTGCAGGCTTCAGAGTCTGACAGACTAGGAGCTGAGTCACAAGTGTGTCATTATGATACTAGCTTTCAGTGTAAGCTCTTGAAAAGTAGGGCCTTTGTCTTATTCACCACCTTACCTCTCTGTAGATGAACAGTAGGTGAGTGAAAACTTGGAGGCTAAATGCTTATGGGATTGTTGTGCTGTTCATGGTAGAGATGAGTGCTAGTAGTAGCATCATATGACTAAATCACAAGGCTAATGTTTCTGTGCAGCATTATCAGCTGTTTTAACAGCACTGTTTTTTTTTTAAATATTAGGTATATAATAAATCACTCCTTTTGAAAATGTAGGCTCATTGCCTTATCATCATTCACAAATGAGACATTCACCTCTTTTCAGTAGGCACAGTTTGCTGTTATTGTGTCTTCTAACGTTGTTTCTCTTCTAGTTGTATTCATATTCTTAACCCTCTCCCCATTTTTTTTTTCCTTTTTTCTTCTCTTTCTTTTTCTTTTCTTGAGACAGGGTCTCCGTGTAACTCTGGCTGGCCTGGAACTTGCCTTGTAAACCAGGCTGGTTTCAAACTCACAGTTATCCACTGCCTCTGCCTCTTGAATGCTGGGATTAAAGGTGTGTGCCATTACACCCAGCTCTGTTTTCTGCATTTTAAAGCATTTGTGTTTTATGAGGTTTTGTTTGTTTGGGATAGGGTCTCCTGTAACCCAGACTGGTCTCTAAGTAACTATATAGCTAAGAGTGGCCTTGAACTCCTGATCTTCCTGTCTTTGTCTCTCAGGTACAGAAATTATAGGTGCATGTCACTGTGGCTGGCAATATTTATGTGTGTTTCGTTGTTGTTTGTTTTAGATGTGGTCTTATCATATAGCCCAGACTGGCTTTGAACTCAAGATCCTTCTAAGGACTAGGACTACAAGTATGTGCCATCCCTGAGGCCAGCTTTATATTTGTGGTTGTCTCTAATGATGTGTGTTTTAGGGTAGCCTCTTTTGACTCATTGCTTTCATTGACTAGCTTCTCAATAAATCAACATGAAAACTAAAAGCACTAATTAATTACCAAAAGTCTCATTCTTAACGTAGAAGATGGCCCATGCTTGTATTCCCACTGCCATGGAAGCCGAGGCAGGAAGATTGCTTAAACCCAGAAATTTCCAAGCTAGCCTGGAGATCCAGTGTCAGTAATAAAAAGAAGTTTAGAAAAGGCATGATTAGGTATAAAAGAAGATTATTTTTTTCCCTTCACAAAATAATATGGGTATTTTAAGCCTAACTACATTTTCTATATAATGTAATATATAGCTAATGTTCTAAAGACAGTAAACAGCAAGTTGTGTCCTACTTATGTTTGAGTTCCATCGGTAAATATGCTAAACTTGTGTGACAAGAAATAAGGTTAAAGTCCAGTACTCCTTTCATCCTTCTCTTTTTACTTTCTCTTCCTTCCTCTTTTTGAGGCCAGTGAGGTGCCTCAGCAGGTGCAAACCGGATGAGCTGAGTTTGGTTCTGTATAAAGGTGTAAGGAGAGAACTGATACTGCAGAGTTGTTCTTTTACCTCCACAGGAGCAGGCCGTGTGTTGCACATCCTCTCCCCATCTCCTAGCAATAATAAAAATTGCTATATAGCCCAAGCTACATATACAGCTTTGAACTATCATCCTGCCTCAGCCTCCTGAGGGCTGTGATTACAGACATGTGCCGCCATGCCCGGCTTTATCCTCCCCCCCCACTTTGATAGCAAACTTTTGCTTTTCTATCAAGAGCTGATTTCCTTCCTTCCTTCCTTCTCTTCTTTCTTTCTTTTCTTTTTTCTTTTATCTATTTGTTTCTTTGTTTGTTTATTTATTTATTTATTTATTTATTTATTTATTTATTTATTTATTTTGAGATAGGGTTTTTCTGTATCCCTGGGTGTCCTGGAATTCATT